TCCTCCATCAGTTTCTTGAAGCGATTTAGCTTTAGCCAACCTATGCCCTCGCCCGCCAGCACCTGGGTGGTGACATCCTTGAGGAATGCCTGATTCTCGGCATTGCTATGCGAACGTTCCTGGTTCTGTTGACGCGTTAGATCCTCCTGCGTTTGTCGAGGGCCCGCATGCTTAATAAGTGGCGTACGCTCGACGAGTCCCTTGCGACTGGGAAAAGGATCAAAGTTGATGCCCGCCTTATTCTTAGGCGAGGATGCATTAGTCGGCTTATGATGCACTGCCGCCTGCTTCTGTTGATTCTCTGTTGGGGGGCATTAATAAATATATTAACTGGACTAGAATTAATTTGAGGTAAGAAACGTACTCTTGCCAAACATGCCCGAGAACATGGTTGTTGTAGAGGAGGCCAATCCATTGAAGTCGGTGCCAATGGAGGAAAAGAAATTGTTGCCTCCGCCGGCTTGTTGCACCTGCTTCTGTGTGGCCAGCTGCGAGTTGGTCATGGAGGGAGCATTGCTTGTACCAGCAACTGCCTGACCATGTTCGTCAATCTTGATGATGCCCTTCTTGGTGGCCGCCTCCTTGGCCGTCTTGGTTAGATCACCCAAAGTCGACTTGCCCACATAGGTGAGATCTTCCAAAGTGTTTTTGCTAACGCCGGCTGCCTGCTTAGACACCTCCAGCGCCTGCTTGGAGGCCTCACCAGCCGCCTTCTTCGCATGCAGCGTAAACTGTGGACAGCATAGCACATCAAATTTAGTAATAGATCTATTTGAATACTACAAGCGATTACTTGAGTGCTAATACAAAACAACAGCGCAGAGTGCAGGTTAATGGCAGCCAAGGCAACTATGTTAAATACTGAGGATGGGCTAATATCGGTTAGCTACAAGGGGTTTCAGGGTTATCAGCTGCTGATGACATCAGCTAACTATTTCCTACAGGCCGTAAGCAATAGCTGTAAGGCTAAAGCTAATGGGATCGATAGTTAATATTATACGAAATATCATATTCACATATTTTTTTGGAATAGGTTAGATTAATAATTAATGTTATCATTACTAATCTAACCCATTATTAGTTAGTGGGTCATTTAATCGGCCAGTTAGTCAGATAATCAGTCAGGAGGCACCACAACTAAATTGAACTAGACTGTAAATGCTTCAAGCATGGACATGAGCATAGATGTTATCAAAGAATCGAGCTATCGATGCGTTTATCGTGTGTGTCTGTGTTTGTGTGTGTTTACGTGTGAGTGTGTGTGTTAAATGAAAGTTGTATATGGGTAATGTGACATGTGAGTGGCTGAGTACCAACCTTTTCGAAGGTGTGTCGCATTTTGTCATCTAGATCTTCGTCCAGTGCATGCTATACTTAGTTACACATTCGTTAACACGAAGTAGACACATAGAACGTGCGATTTGGGTTTATCGATATCGATGGCAAACGTACCGTTTGCATTTTCATATAATCAAATATCGATTATCATATAGTCAAATAGTAAAAATTGTAAAAAAAAAAAAAAAAGATAAATAAATAAATAAAAAATGAACGACAAAGAGCACAACAACACATTGAGTTCCACAATGGATGCACAATACAAAAATATTCCAATACTGCATCAAGCATTCAACTCACCTTGTCGACGTGGGCGAGCAGACCCTCCTGGCTGCTCTGGCGCGTCGTCTCCCGCACCAGCTCCTTGGCATGTGATGCAAAGTTCTCGAACAGCGAACTCTGCGAGCTCTGGCGACCCGGACTACTGGAACTGGAACCGGAACTTCCTGTACGGGCCAATATATTGCTAACACCCGGCTGCTTGACGGGCGGTGTGAGCGGTGGCTGTAAGGATTAAATATTTTAATTATCTTTATATTAAACTGTATGAACTAAGACTATACGACCTAGTCCAACGATTCTTACTCTCTCCCTCCCACACACACACACTTACCGGTATCTTTTTCTCCGCCCGCTCCACATCGCTGGTATTACGCTGCAATTTGTTGCTGGCTATGCTCTTGCCAGTCACCGTGGATGTTGTATCCGACTCCGCCTCCAGACTGGCCATCTTGATGGTCGCCTCGAGTCGTATAGCAAGAGGCGTGGCCAGCTCAAAGGCGCCCGGTGCAGCGGCCGTTGGCTGCTGCCCTGACTTGGGCTGGAAGTCAAACTCCGAGTCCCGATTGAAACTGGGCGAACTCAAGTCCGAGCGACTCGATGAGGAAGACACTGGCGAATCGGCTCGCTCTTCATCGTTCTTGCTTTTCGCGGGTCCGGCCAGACCCTCCGGATACTGTAGCTTACTGGGCGGATGATAAACGAGAGCCGGATCCAGATTTGAGGATAATGTTTGCGGCACGACATGCGGCCGATTGTAGGAGCCGAAAACGTCATGTAGACTGGGCGACAGATCCGAGGACGCCATCTCGGAGACAAAATCACTTAACGAACTATACGAAGAGCTGCTGCTGTCGGCACCCTCCGAATCCGATCCGCTCTCATCCGTGGGCTGGCACTCGAGCTGTTTAAGAGAGCGCAGCGCGCCATTCAACGAGCTGCCATCGTCCCACACGGAGAAGCGTATGGGTGTTAGACTGTGGGCGAACCACTTGGGCTTATCGCCCACCTGCATGGGATCCATGACACCCGTCTGCACACGCAGGAAGGCAACATTTGTGGGAGTTAGCGACCATTCCGCCAGGAACTCAACGGCCTGCGTGCGTGCAAACTGATTGAGGAAGATCGAGGCACGGGGTCGTGAACGTAGAAAGCTATTGATCTGGAAGGCGACAACGGGCCGAGGATATAGACGAAGCGTGCGCGTATGTTCGGCGAAGTTTGCCAACGTATTTTGGGCATTGAAGAACCGGACCATTGCCACACGTGTGGCCACATCCACCGAATCCACATCGGTGCCATAGACAAACGGATTCAGGGCTGGCGAATTCATTGGACTAGGCTGGCGGGACAACATGGCACCCTGGGCAGACACCGAATTACGCTGGCTGGCATGGGCGGAGTGCGGAGGCGTTTGCAAAGGCAATCGCACTTGGGATACCCTAAACCAGAGACGAGGATGAGCAAACGCAATAGCGATATACATATATCGGATGACTTACCCCAATAATGGCGGCTCCTGGAGACTATCCCGCACCGAGGGCAGCAGCTGTTGTGATGAGACAGCCTGATTGGATGCTGTCATCGATGTCAAAGCCTGTTATGAATAATCAAAGCAGTCGATTTAGTGAGCTCAACTAAGATAAGAAGACATTTTGGCTGCAAACTTCAAAATGGCTAACTATAAGAAGGATTACAGCGAAAGGGTGGATAGATCCTTTGGGATTAGCTAGTTACAAGATCTATCTATATATATATATACAAATATATAGAGAGTGAATATTATAATTAAACTTTTCTCAAGAAGCATGCACACAGCAGAAGACGAAAAGAAACACTCCAAAGAGTTAGAGAAAAGAGAGAATGAGACTTTATACTGCTATAATGAAGATCCCATTAAGGCTCAATGAGTAGAAGATTTGTAGAAGAGGGTATGAGTATATATTGATGTATAGGGATATTTCTGTAAAATAAATCAATTGAATTTTATAATACAAACCAAATAAAATTTGTAATTTTATATTATCATAAAAAAAGAAAACTATAAATCATAAATATTCAATAGATTCAAGGTAAAATTGAAATGATCTCTAGAAATATCCATATATACATAACTAATTAGTTAAAGTTGCGAATGAATAATACTTTTTGGGGATATATGTATGTCCCTTTTGGGTTTAAAATATGACTGTATGCATGCATTTGTTTATATGTATATAGATCAGATTAGACAGGTTAGTGGTATAGGTATTGTTTATAGTATAATACAACAATCGACAGCAGTATTATATAGTTATTTGTATGTACAGAACGCTTGTAACTCAAAAGTTCATTATGTAAATGATAAAATGTTATAAGAAACGTAAGAATGTTATTTAACATATGTGAACGATATTTACACCAAGTCCAGCTTCATCCATAAGTAGCATAGCCTGCAGTAGTAGTAGTAGTAGTAGATGTTGTTGTTGTTGTTGTTGTAGTTGTTGTTGTTGTGATCAAGTTTAACAAATTCGTATAACAGATAATGCATGAATGTTAGAAGTAGAGTAGTACAGCGTATTAGCGAAGTAAAAGCCACAAAACGATAGAGACAAATACAGAGTGGTCGGGACGAAGAGAGAGATAGAAAGAGAGAGATAGATAAATTGAGTGACAGTGAAGGCGAGAGAGAGAGAGAGACGTAGAGCAATAATAGTATGAGAATAAATGAGTATAAGAAAAAGACAAAGAAAAGTTATGCTCAAATCATATATATGGACTTCTCTGTAAGTGTAACTCCAAGGCGATATAGACAAGTATTATATATAGATATTACATATGTTTAGAGCACAATCATACAAAATTGGGTAGAAGAGGCAAAACAAATTTAAATAGTACAGTTAATCAACGATTTAAACCGCTGAGCAATCGATATGCGAGCTTCATTACATCGCATATCGATTAGGTTTTATTATAGACGATCAAAGCGTTTTCCATATCAAGATATACACTTATATATAATATATGACATTGTATATATGTATATACATACACACATATACATATGTATATATACAATAGGTTTAAGCGGTTGTGCGGGTTTGAGAAAAATGTGTTAACAATCATTTAATAAAATAAGTGACTTTTCTAGTCGCAGATGCCCGACTAGCTAATACCCTACGCCCACATTGATATAGAATATATATATATATACATCAAATATTTTATCTTTAAGACCTTAAGACATTTGTGTACTTGATGATACAGATTAGGAATTTCTACATATTTTACATATTTCCTTCATATAGGGATTCTAAACAGATTTAGGGAATATATATATATAGGTATATATCATACACATTATAAACAATTTCAATGGGCACAGGGCTTTCACATGAATATGTTAAAATAAAACAATTTGAATAGAGTATGTTCCTTTCCGTTGAGATATCCTTATCCATTTGCTCAGTTGAGTCATACGAAATATCATGCACGACTTAGCTGTCAGTTTTCCGTTCCCCCTGCCCCCATTCAGAACAAATGCATACGTAACATTAGAAATTTTGTTTGTGGTATTGTTTCTTTTCATCGGAAATACCCAATTTCCCGATAGTTAAACAAACCAAAAACAGCATAATAATACCAGAGCAAAAACAATAAGAAGAAGAAATAGTTACAGATACAGTTGAATATGTCAAGACGTAGAATTGCCACCATGTCTACAGCTGAGGGCACATCTCTCCGAAATGCAGAAGGCATACGAAAATTCACCAACTCCATGGACCCGCGCTTGGATCAGCTGGTCGTGTACAGCTCCGTGCTGGAGCATTTGCTGCAACAGAAGCGCCACTTTGAGCAGGAGCGCGACACGGAGCAGCTGCGGCTCGAGCGGTTCAGGTGCGAGGGTGTCAAAGATAATCGCATTCGCGTGCAAATGCAGGTGGTGAAAAAGGTGCAGAGCATGCTCCCGAACATTGTCTTCAAGCTGCGCAACGAGTACGACAAATTCGATCGCTTTCTGCATAGAGAGAAGGGACTCCAAAACATAAATCTTTCTCTTTACGACAAAGGTCTGCAGTTGCTGAATTTGTGCAAAAAGAATCTAGAGCAAACTTTATAGACATGGCTGCACTTCCGTTTTCGCATATTCCCACGCGAACCCACTCTCCACCACACGCACACATAGCCCATGGTTTGCCCCAGCTCCCAACCAACCATATGGATAAGCTTTAGTAGAAGTCTCAATGTATTTCAATTGATCCATTCGGCGAACCCAAGTAGGGGCTTACCTGCTTCAGATGATTCTTCAGTATAGTGCCCTCCGGTTCGGGCAAGGGAGGTATCTCATCGTAGCCACCCGTTGGTGGTGTCAGCTTGGTAGAATCCAAATCCACAACCCATATATCATCGGGCAGCCTGCAATTTAAGAGATGACTATATTCGTTCTGGATACCGTATACTATAGAGACTATACTATTAGAGACTCTTAGACAGACCAGACATTGCCGGGTAATAAGCAACACCCTACCAGGCAGTGCCGGGCACTTCCAGTCTCTAACAGGCATCGTCGACTATAGTGGACACTACAAGGTACTACCGGGTACTATCAGGCAAGGATCGACTGGTCACTAAGTGAACAACTACGCCTAACCAGACATTACCTGGCACTACCAAGTACCACCAGCTATAGCGACAGCAATCGGGCACTATATCAGGCATTACACCATTACGGGCACTACCAAGCACTTACCTGAAATTCTTTTTATAGATTAGAAAGGAGGCTGGCACACCGATGACAAAGGGCGTGGGCGCGAGCAACAGCTGCTCGGCACAGCTGAGGCATGTGGGCAGCAACGGTATGACTGGGAACATATACTCCAATGGGTATAGCATTGTTACGAACGCCATTACCGACATGGAGAGTGCATTATAGTCGCGCGATTGGAAGAGCACCTTATTCTCCAGCATTATCAGTGTCCACACCTTCAGACAGGTCTCCACACCCAGCAATTCCAATGGCAAGTGCAACGGAAAATCAACGAGCGAAAAGCGCGTGTGATCCGGCAATGCAAACAGCAACGGTTCGTGTACAGTGGGCGACAGCACCTCCACCTAAAAGGGAAAAATGAAACATATTCATTAATAGCAAGTCCAATAGATAATTGTAGTGACTATTGTTTAACACATATCGAGTGCTCTGTAAACAGATATTATTTGTCAAAAATAGAGAAACGACCACATTTCAGTCGACTTGCGTATTTAATGGGTTGTAATATACATGCTCAAAGGAAGAGATCTAGCTAGATCTAGCTACAGACTTGAAAGACTACAATCAGACAGTTCAATTGTTTTCCTATCGGATATATCTCTTGTTCTATCGACTTCTATTTACCTCGACACGCGTAGAGCCTGGCACCGGCACCGGCGTAGAGAGTAAACGTAATATCCACGTCTCGATCTCCCGCACATCGTGCAGCACAATGGAGGGTGTCGCCTCACTGACGTGCCCCGTCAGCACCGTCCACACGTTGTCCCGATTGAGTTTCTGTGAGGCGCCCACACGCTTCGGCGACGACGACTCGTTGCAGGCGTCGATGAGCTTCTTCAGAATGAAGAGGCACTCGCGAAAGGTGGTGAAGAATGGATGATGTGATATGATGCAGAGAGATGTTAGCGATTGATTGCGCAGTTTGGTGCGCTTACGTGACGCCCGTGGCGATGGTGAATGACTGCCGCCCGATTCCGAGTCAGCCGATGGTGCCATCAGGCCCAGTTTGGGCACTGAGGAGGCTGGATGATGATGCGAATGAAGACGCAGCTGGTCAGAGTCGCGACGCGAGGTCAGTTCACGATCCGAATCACTGGGCGCTACGTTACTTCTGTAGTCGCTAGAAGTAGTTAAGAGGCCGTAACTATTATGGAAGTGGTTTAAAAATCGGTTAGATCATATAAGCCAAAAGCGTATTATAGCCAACCAGCATTAGCAGCAGCACCCCGCCGCCTGTCTGCCTGCGCTGCGCACACACTTGCCTGCTAAACGCCGAGTCGGAGCTGCGCTCCATGCTCTTACGCCATGACTCCCGCCGAAAGGCGGATGAGCGCCGGCCACGCCCACCGCCACCTGCACCACCAGCAGCGCCAGCACCATGACCGCCCCCAGCACCATTGCCAGCCGCACCGCCACGCTCAGCGCCCGCCGCCGAGCAAGGTCGCTCAATGGGTCTGTAGAAGTTGACGCAGATCCCATAGCGCGTCTTGCCCGAATCCTTGTCCGTCAGCGCAAACACAAACGAGGTCATGTCGCGTATGGCGGAGCCAGTGCGTCTTGGTCCCACGCTGGTGCAGCCTTCCGGCTGGCAAAAGTACACCATGTCCAGTGGCAGCGGAAAGTCGGCGTGATCCGATGGCGGATAGCGACGCAGCAAATCGGGCACCTAAACAGCAGACAGAGAATAGATCAGATTACTCTAGTGGAACCGTTACGTCTAATAGATACCCTACATTGAGCTCAAGCTGTGAACTAGATTCACTTCTGTATATAGAGCTGAATTGAAGGAGTTAGACTATTCAAGGACCATGTCCATAGGTCTCACACTCATCGATATATGCCCAAATAGCATAAACTACATATCGATATTTTAATAATTTTAGTAACAGTTAAATTTCCGATTTAAATTCAGAATTTCAAAGGAAATACTAAAGGACTTATTAAATAGATATAAATATATAAAAGTCCTTTAGTATTTCATTCGATATTCTACATTGTCTGTATATACAAATTGAGAGAATAAGAAAGAAGATAAATTTGTTTATGAGAATCTGCAAATCAAATTTGAAATTTCGTATGCATAGCTCTGCAAGCTTTGCGAGATTGGAGCTACGGGCCAGGCAATTGACTGCAATAAAAATAAAAGCACAATATTTGCTTTGGGCCCACACACACACACACACACACACATCAAATTAGTCTGCGCAAATAAACGGCAGGTATTGCTCGGTTCCTCTTCTTTTGATTTTGATGAAGTGCGCAACACACAGACGCTATCGATGACATACAGACACATTATGATATTCTAATGAGTGTAGAGGGTATAATAGGTCATAATTTATGCACCCTTGACAGCGGCTATAATCAACAGACTCACCTGCACCGGCGGCGCCTTGCTGCCCTGCATGCCCTTGGGCATTGGCGGCGTTGTGTGGGCACCCACAATGGCCATGTAGTCGACGAGGCGCGGGCATAATGAGGCGCGCTGTTGATCCGACATTTTGGGTATACTCACTACGCACTACCCTCGCTCGTTGGGATTCTGTAAGTAAGACAAGTGGGAGAGAGGCAAAAGTCAGAAGATGGAATCAAAGATAAACAGCATGAGCAATTAGTGGGGAGAGCCAAAGAGGCAAGGCCGTAATCCATTAGCCACAACGCGTAATCAAGTTAAGCTACACACAAGGCTGCCTTTCACTAAGCCGTAAATTCAATTTACCGCTCAACGCAAGCGCATGTTAGCAATTAGGGCTTAGAGGCAAGCTCCCTATGCCGCTGCAGCATGTTTCTCCACAACATGTCCTTGGGCGTGGGTGGGTGGGGGGTGTGGCATGCAAAATATAATGAAATTAGTTGCCTCAAATGAAAACTTGCTGAATAAACAAGTGAGCTTAGTCAACCAAAAATATCCTCGAGCTGCGAATTTACAAATTTCTCGTATGTATGTATATGTATATGTATGTAGGTATATGTATATGTATATTTATGTATATGTATGTATATGAATGTATATATATGTATATGTATGTATATGTATATGCACATATGTATTTGATATGAGATATTTAGATAGATCGATTTCGAAATTCGTAGTTAAAGCTCTATATAAAAAAAATTAGCATATTAACAATTATCAATGAAAATTTAGATAAAGTACTTAATCTCTGCAAATACTGACAAATAGGGAAAAGCCTTAAGATCAAATTGACTTTACGACTTCAAAGAGACACATGAGATTCGAGCACAATTATAGAGTAAGCACTACATATTATCCTAATTGAAGCTGAACCTCGCAGCATCTGACTAACGGTACATAACGCATTCTTACCCACCTCAACTGTAAGAAAAAACTTTTTGTATTATTAGTATTACTATTATAATCATCACCATCTTTATAGAATATATCATAAATATCATTATTTATATTTCTCTTTAGTATTACTATTTTGTACTATTGTTATAATCAATATCATAATATAATCATATCATAAGCTTTACTACCTTTGTCATTACATTTATCATTATATTTATATTTATACTATTATCATCAGTACCATCCCCATTATCATTATGATAAGTATCTTCAATATTATATCATTCGCATTTTCATTATCTTTCTCATTGAAATTATCATTTCTATTATCATTATTATTCTTCTTATTGCCATTAAACAGTCGCTGCTTCAGCTGCTTCACTCTACCAGATAATCCGCCAATTAAACTGTAAAACAAATTGCTCAACCACAAGGTCCATACGTTAAATCCATCCATTCAGTTAAGCTGTTTGAAGTTTTAAGTGCCTCAGATGAGAAGCTTTCAATTAAATCTCTAATAATTGCAATGCAAAAGCCAGCGAAGGCGCGAAATTGAAAACCGTCGGCTCAACATTTCCCTCCAATTACTGCATCGGCAGATGGGACTTTCATTAATAACGCAATGCAAGGCGATACCTAAGTTGTAAAAAAAAACGAGAGGTAGAGAGCGGGAGCGAGAGAGTGGAGTGTGGCAGCGAGATAGATGTGCGTCAATCGGGTTGCTAAGAAAATAGAAAATGGCAAACTTTGACGCGCAAATGCCTAGACAAAGCCAAAGGAAATGTGCTTCTGATTGCCCTGAGTCCGCACAAGTTTGACCTATTGCATTTGCGAAATCTTCGAGTGGGTGTAGTTGGGTGTTGGCTTAAGCAAAGTCTTGTGCCAACTGCAAAGCGCAGTGCAGTTGCGTGGATTCCGTTATGTGAGCCGCGGCTTCATCGAAATGCAAAGAGAACTCTGCCAGAGCGAGATTTTCCAGTTGATTCTTTGTATTATTCATCACATAAATCAACGACCTGCAGGCAGGTCAAACCAATCAGTCTAAGGACCAATCATATCAAGTCAGTGGCCTGCTAATGACCTTGCTTTATAGGGACTGTGGTGGAGGGGGATGCCTGCTGCAGTAGCAC